AAACTCCTAAGTTTCACAGATGAATGTTGAATAAATCATGTAAACAGATTTATCATTTGTGTTGCTGTCAATTCATACCAGACAGAGTGAAGAGCTTTAACCTGATTTTTGAAACAGAGAAAATTGGACAAAGGGAGGAGCTGGGGAAGGGGGAGGGGGGTTGAAGCCTTCCCAATATCAAACAAAAGTAACAATAACTGAATTCAAGTCCTCTGTAGAAGCTCCCCTCAGTACTTCTAATCCTTCTCTTAAGCAGGGATGGAGAAGTAGTACACCTCTTGAAATTAACCTTTGCCCTATCTCAAATTATACTACAAGATTATTCCAACCCTATTTTAAACCTGGACCAAAATTCCAAACCCTGTCTCAACCAACAATCAATCACCTGGAAAAAACAAAAAAATTAAATGAAAGTAGCTTACTTCCTTGAATTATTGCCTGACCATGCAGTTATTCTAAATTTTTGTCAAAATTATTCATGATAAATGTTTAATTTTTTTTTCCATGATGCGCATGTTTACTTTGGAGAATTTGGTTTCGGATCATCTACTATTCCCCCTATTGACATTTTTCTTTATTCCCATCACTTTTCTGCTTGATCTTATAGGGAGAAATTCTGTGCTAGTCACCCATAGCAATTAAAGGATGAACACACAATTGGAAATTGCTTCAATCTATTTTAATCAAGTTTCTTTTACAGTTAACAAATATTCAATAACTTGTGTACATGTGAATCTGTCCCTTTGTTAAAATTTTCATGACTTTCAAACTAATACCTATAATACAATAAATTTGGATAAGAGGGCTTTCATACCCATTGCAAAGAAATAGCTGCCAGTTTTCATTGATCACTTGTTAAAACATGAGTGGTTGTTTTGACTACAAATTTTTTTTGCTAGTGACCAGTGCACTAACATCTAATGTTGTAACCCCAACATCTCAAAAAATGTTGCTAACATCTCATAGGTAATTTTTGCTAACTCAATACAAAACCTTTAGTATTCCCATCAACAGAACCTGATCAACTTTCAATTGATTGAAAGGTCAAAACAACCTAAGATGTTAGTGAACTGGTGAGTTCAAACTATATGAGGAATTTGTAGAGTTCTTCCACTGCTCCTTTCTTCTGGCTGCATTGCTGCATCACTGCAAAGCAGTCTGTCCATTTCTGACCATTAAGTGCACACCACTTCCACCAATAAAAACAGACATTTTGTCAAGCAGCAGTAAATAAGAGAAACATCAAGAATGATCCCAATTCTATTTGCTATGTAAAATATCACACAAGCTGTGAAAGTACAAAGTTCAGAAGCACTCACAGAAATGAAGAAGACATTCAGGAAAAGTCCAACAACAAATACAGTGAACCAGGTTATTGGTGTCAGTTTACCTTCTGGTTCTCAGAGGCTTTTAAGAGCCCCTGACCATAAATATGTAGAATCCTCTGACAGTCACAAACTTTCGTTGTTCATTTTATTTTTCTAGAGGAACTTTTGATGAACCTTATTTAAAAATTAAATCAAAATTTGTCTCGCTTTGCTCTCTCCTCCCTCCCCCCCAGTAAAACAATGAAAAATCATGCAACTCTAGCAGCTTTGTACACCACAATCCACTGCAGTCCCACTTAGAAAATGATATGTTATAGAATTTTCCTTTTATCTTTTGAAAATATAAATTTGTTACGTTATTACATTTAAGTATACATAGTGATCTGTTGAAATAAGATACTTTGTATCTGTTTCATTAAGGTAAAATAAAGGTCAACTTAAAAGAACACTAACAAGGTTGGGTATAAAGAATTATAGTGGAGCTCACAGAGAGTAACCCCATAATTATACAAAATAGTAGTAACCCATCAAGCCAAAAAAATTTGGATGTACGACCATACAACCATTCAAGGTGCTACTTTTAACATGCGTGGTCAACTGTACCGCGGGCACCCCAATGCCATGGCTTTGTCCTGTAGTCCAGTGGTCATTGCACTGGGCTCTGAGTCAGACGACCTGGGTTCTAGTCCTGGCCAGGGCAAGGCGTTGTGCCCTTGAGACCTGCAGGAAAAAAAAAATGCGAGCTCCGCTTTTAGGCTTGGATAAATCTATATATTAAATCATAGTATACATCATCTCAAAGCTTTATCCTAGTAGTTTTACTCCTCATATTTTCTATCTTGGCCCGCCATTAGCAGGGGTGTCAAGGTTAAAAAGAGTTTGGACCATGTCGATAGAAAATGCAATGTGAACTGCTGAACAGCTTGAACCACCCATTTAAAGGCCTAGAAAAAGGACTGGTATATATATCTACAGAACCTAGCATACACCTTCTTAAACCTTTAACTCCCAGAAGTGATTAACATGAAACTTCTCCCTTTAATATCCATACAATAAGTAGCAAACAGGTAATGAGAGTATTCAAACTTATCAGGTAGAAGCTGCTATCTTGATTAGCACCAAGTTCTCATAACTAATTTACAACAAAATGTTAAGCAGCTAGAGGGGAGAATTAGCCATCAGACCCGGGGAGATTAAGGGTTAAAGCTTCATCCTTGTAGTTCAGTACCTCAATTTTTTTCTTGTAGCCCAACATAAGCGCCTTGTCCAGGTCAAAGAGAATTTGAGCTATTTTAACAACAAAAATCTAGTGCGAATGAATGAATGGTAGTCACAAGAGGTCATCACCACCTTTCTTGCAGTCTGGTCATTTATTGACAGAGGAACACTTCTCAGCAATATAAGTTGTCATAAAAAGCTTCATTTCAAAAGAACTTTACAGTTGACAAATGATTAAGCAACCTTATGATCAACAAAATAAGCTATAATATGCTGTTTATTCAGTCCCAATATGTACCGGTATTTCTCTGAGTGATTTTTATCTAACTTCTCCTTACAATATCCATACACTATCCAACAAACAAGTAATGAGAATACTCAAACTCATCAGTTAGAGGTTGTTATTGTGATATAACACCAAATTCTTGTCACTAAATCACAAGGAAATGTGCAACAACTGGATGGGAGAATTAACAATCAGATCTTAGGAGTTTAAGGGTTAATAGCAAGAGCCTCGGAGGTCATACACTTGATCACCTGACATAAGTTTGCAGAAGTTGGGCATGGCTGGACTTCTGTCATTAAGAGCTAATGATGTCATCAGAAGTTTTTCTTCCTAAAAATATATGAAATGGCCCTAAACAGTGGTTACCAGACTTAGCCTTGTTTTCATGTCATATCAGAAATTGAATGAAAATGGTAGTTATCTCATTGCTTTAGGCTAAATTCAAGGGAAAATTTGGCTGGAACTGTCAGGATTGTGCAACTTTCTCTAAGAAAATAACAGCATAGAGCCTCTATTTGGCTCAAAAATATGCGCTGATACTTGTCAGCAGACAATATCTGATCCAAGATGCAAACAGTTTTCTACAAGTGAAGCTCTGGGAAAACTGTGAGCTTCAAGAAACAGATAATGTCCAAGGACAAATACACAAGCATATTTTCATGCAAATAGAAGCTATTGTGTTTTCTTATCCTTTAAGTATTTTCCAATGTGCATAGAAAAATGTTTGTGAACAGCTTATTCTTTGCCATTTGGGATGTTTTCTTTTGAGTGTTTTCTAGTATGACCTTATAAACAAATGAATATTTCCCTTCTTCTGTGACAATCATAAAATACTCTGTTATCTGGAATCAAGTTGCAAAAGAAGAATAATCATAGTGGACATAAGTTTTGAAAATTGTGGAGGTTCACTTGGGTGATATCCTTGGATATCCCCTAGTTTTAGCTAAGGGAATAGCTGGGGAAGGTACAGTGATGTGATGAGTTTAGACCAATCACCTGCCCAAAAAAATATTTGATGGATCATAAAAAGGGCTATTTCATAAATTTATGCCACAGAGGACATAGCGATATGCTTATAACAGCTCTTAAAGGGTATTTTGGCATCTCAGCAGTCACATGCTAGGTTACATGAACTCAATTTGCACATACTGAGCACGACTGGGATAATGATGTAGAGATAAATTACTGCATTGCAAAATATGTTTTAAAACGGTTTCAGAAAATGAGAAGAGGCCAAAATCTTTGGTGATATACTAATTTGTAATGTTTAAATGTATTTTGTGACATGGAAGAGGTCACGTTGTCACAGCAAGCTGAAAATAGTCGATTTCGCAAAATAGTAACTCTTCTGAAATTACTACTTTGCGAAATGAATAAAAATCCTTCTTATCGATTGACGATTACTCCAAAATCTTTTGAAAGTTATCTTTATCTTATGAGAAAATATATCTGCATTATTCCATTAGTTTCGTAAATTCTCACATAGCTTCGTTTCGTTTCGCAGAATAGAATAACCCAAGATTTCCGTCATAATAAAGTAAAATAATTGAGAGTAACTTTGCTGACTTCTTAGCATAAAGCACTTACTTAGTCTTTCGTGTAGTAACTTTGAATGGTTTGATAAGTGAAAGGCTCCACAAAGACACCACTCGTTAAAAAAGGTATATCAGATTTATCAGTACTTACGTTATTTCTACATCCACGGCTCCAATGTAACGTTGTGTATGTACATCTGACCAGAATGCCAGCCTATACCCGAAGCCTAAAGAATTCTGCTGTAAACACCTTAAGTTATAAGGTAACCGGGCAAAGGATTAAACTTAATCGGTTCTCCTTTTGCGTTTTGCGTTGTGCGCTCAAGAATTATTGGCACAGTATGCAGAGCTGCAAAACCATCGAAGAAGGCGGCATGCGATACTCCCGGTCGTATACATTCTGCTTTGTTTACGTGGTCGCCATACATGCCATATTTGTTTCAGCTGTCCCTCCAGATCTGACAGGAATTCAGAATGACCAGATGGACAGTTTAATCAATGTATTCGTATTAATCATTTGTCGTTATCTATCTCTGATACGACGAAAATTTATGAGCAGCAACTATCCAAGCCCGTTGTGGCCTGGAAGCTACTAATTTTCTATCAGCGGTTACTAAGCTAAGTTCATCCAACATGGCGACAGGGGGGACATCTGCTCAACCAACAGAAGAAGATGCGACAGAACTACAGTTTCCAAAAGGTTTGAGCTATTCTGTTTTTCATGACTTTGCAGAGATATGATTATATGACGCATTGATTAAGTAACACAAAAATTATTGTATCCTGATGTCCCTCAGAAAAGAAAAATTTATCCTCTTCTTCATATATTTCACTCAGTAGGATCGCCTTTGTACGCACAAGATCTCTTTGATTTCTGTAATACTCAGCAGAGTGGCGGCCCCACTCACATTATAGATAAGGGCGGTAAACTGAAGCATACAATTTTAATTTAAGTGTATCACCATATTTAATTCGCTTTCTAGAATTTGAAAGTGCGGAAACATTGTTAAACTCCGAAGTGTACATGTTGTTGGAACACAGAAAGACGCAGAACGAAGGAGCAGAAGAAGAGCAAGAACTATCGGAAGTTTTCATGAAAACCCTTAACTACACACAGAAGTTTAGTCGATATAAAAACAGAGAAACCATCGCTCAAGTGAGAAGGTAACAGAATGAAATTAATTCAATGCTGATACACGTACCAAGAAACCTCAGAGAGAGAAAATACTCAACCCTGAAACTACCAAGATCGAATTGAATTGCAATCCTCCTTTTCCTTAGTGTTCTTTTTGCCTTCAAATCAAATACATTTCTTGTTGCTGTGCAAAACTAAGTAGTTGTACATTATTATTAGCGTTTAGCAGTTAATACGCCTAATTCTTCAACAAGTTTCTACTCATCTCCTTGTAAATTAGTTTCAAGAATTTGGTGTGAGATCAAGAGTTTCAACTTCTACCTGATAAGTTTGAGTATCCTCATAACCTGTTTGCTGGATTATGTATGGATATTATATGGAGAAGTTACATTCTAATCACTTTTAAAAGTTAAAGGGTTAAAAAAATAGATCTTGTCATAACATGCTGGCTAATTCTTAAAGTAAAATATGAGAGTGTTGTGCTTGTGAATCAAAGGGCAATCTTTCCAGACATTAAGAGCAACTGATCAGTGATGCTTGACTGATAAGACTATTTCTGTGGCATATGAACAGAAACAGGAAAGATTTTCCTACTTTAGAGGTAAATAATAAAGGATATTTTAGTTTATATAATCTATTGGAGGAAAGATGCATAGATGATGTCATCATTAACCCTTTATCTCCCAAGATCTCACCAGTAATTCGCCTTACTGTCTGCCATATAGTTCTTGTGATGTTAGTTTCAAGAATTTGGTATTGCATCAACTAATAACCCCCTAATTAATATTTTTCTTTATTCTTATCACTTGTCTGTTTGATATTGTATTGATATTGTAAGGAGAAATTCTGTTGTGGTCACTCATGAGAGTTAAAGGGTTAACAACATCTTGCTTTTCCATCCTATAAAACAAAGTGTTTCCATATTGCTATGGCTTTGTTCAGTAAAAGATCACAGAACATGTCAAAATATAATAACATCAGTGATATTCTGTAGTACCTCATGAGCCACTTTTTTTTTCCTTATCACATATGATGTCATCTGTGACACTTTTTTTTTCTTTTCTGAGATCTATCACTGAACAGATGCTCAGCAAAATAGAAACTATTTTTTCTGAACAGAGTAGTGACCTCTGAAAAACAACCACCTTCTCTCATCTGCTTGTTAGTTTTACCCCAGACTGATTGTTGCTATGAAGTTCAACTTTATTTTCAGTTTCTGACAATCCAAACCTCTTGTTATAGTTTGCTAGGCAAGAAGAAACTGCACAAGTTTGAACTAGCCTGTTTGGCCAATTTATGTCCTGACACAGCAGAAGAAGCTAAGGCCTTGATTCCAAGGTGAGTGTTTACCTTTCAGACCCTAGCATCAGTATACATGTTCTCCATTCTGTTCTTTATACGTTGTCTATGAAGTTGTCAAGGAGAATTTGTGTAACAGTCAAATGTTTGTTTGGTGAGGGATTGTTTTCTTTACACCTAATGTTTTTATTCTGCAGTGTTACTGCAAAGAGAAATTAGATGCAAGTCATTCCTTGGGATAAAGGTTTAATTAACCCTTTAACTTCCATAAATGACCAAGGCAGAATTTCTTCTTACAATGTCAATACATTATCAAGCAGACAAGTGAGAAGAATAAAGAGAAATATCAATCAGGGGATTATTAGTTGATCCAAACCCAAATTCTCCCTACCAACATTGCAAAAATTGTACTGGAGACAGGAAGGAGAATTACTTATGAGATCTTGGGGGTGAAAGGGTTAAAAATCCATGTTTCACTGCATACACATTTCTCGCATTTTTCCCTACCCCTAAAGGGCTTGGAAAAATACTATGCAACTGGTAAGATATCCTTCTCCTCCCTCCCCGTATTGTTTGTTGAACGGTCAAATACAGTGTATTAAAACCCATTTCCTATGTTGATAAGCACTTGCTCAATTTGTTACAGAAAGCTTTATTATCTAAACTCTTTTTTTCAGTTTGGAGGGAAGGTTTGATGATGATGACCTACAGCAACTACTGGATGACATTCAGACTCATAGAAGTTTCCAGTACTAGCCAGATGTATGACAGCTTGAGATATTTAAAACCAAGCCACACCTATGATATCTCCTTCTGTTAGCAAGAAAACACTAAAACATGACTTGAAAAAAGTCATCAAGTTGACTTGTTATCCAAGCGATGCAAGTCCTACTTTGGATGTCAGAAGACAGTCCCAACATTTGATGTTTTATTTGTTATAAATTAAGGAAGTCTATATTTTGTAGATCAGACATGGGTGTGAAGTCCTTACAACTTACTTTATTGATGTTGCTCTAAACAATAAGAAAGCAGACAGAGAGAAATTGTTTCATTTGACTTATGCGCACACACACTCACAATCAGATCATCTCTTCTGAGGTACAACAAAGTGCCAGTTTGTAACTTACAGTATGAATGATAATCTTTTTATTCTTGCTAAGTCATATTACTCCTAGGGTAATATAGTGTTATCAGCTGAGGGCTAACACTTGAAACAGTAGCTTTCAAACTCTTTACGGTGGCCATTTAACATTATCAACTCAGTCGATAATACTAAACTACCCTGTTATACTCTCTCACCCACGCAGCTCCACAGTTTCTTAAAAAACTTTCCCCCTTTATTCATATTACTCTCACCTACTACCATTCTTGTTATGACTAAATTGGTGTTAACTGGTGTTAATTACTCTTATTCATTTATTGCTAATAAAATAATCCTGGGGGTATTCATAACAGGAAGGCCAAAAGAGGACCAGGAGTTTAGATATAGTTTTTTGACATTTTAGTTAAAGAATTGAAAGGACATGATAGGTGTTGAAAAGGATAAAATTGTTAAACTGAAAATGACAGCAGATTTTTAGATGTTGAGAGAAAGCTTGAAAACTTGAAACCTGAAAGCATGGAAAACAGATGAAAAAAGTTGACCTTGACAGCTTTTTGAAGCCATAGGTTTTCCATGGCATCAAATGTCGAGTTCTACAGAGTCGCATTGTGGTGAAAGATTCTTAAAAATTCTGCAAAATGAATCGCAAAAATATTATCACCCGAAGAAGTGTGTTTTATTGTCACAAGTCGAAGGAATAGCCCCTTTGCTAAACACGTGTTCTGTCTTATATTCTTCCAATTTACATCCGCGAAACTTTTTGGCGCTCACGGCTGTTGCAGAGGACTGGGTATGGGTATTTTCCACTTATCGTTCAGAGCATTGTTGGCCGACATGATAGCACCCTTAGAGTACCCCCGATAGGGATGATACGCGCTACCAATAACGTAGATCTCCTCTCTTGCAATGGGTCTCCTTGCTCATTGGGTGACTTGCTTTATGGCAACGCGGCTTCCAGGTTTCTGTAAGTACCTGGAATGAAAGAAAGCGTATTCGGGATAGTCTGGGAGACTTGTTTTTATGACAGAAGTGGGGTCGAAGTAGAAATTTTCCTTTTTAACTCAGAGTAAGATTTCTCTAGTATGGAGTAGTTCTCTTATGATAACTACTCCATTGACCTCACCTTGTGATTGGTTGAAAAAAAAGCTTGCGTCACACATTCGCGACCAACGGCGACCTGATCAATAACATTTTCCCGCCTCAGGAAGTTCACTTATTATTACATTAAGTCTCATTCGCTCTTTCCATTATTTTCCTTTGCTCTGATTGGTCTTTTGTCTGTTTTCACGACACTCAATCAACAGATAGGTAGTCTGAGGAAATGACAAGAGGAAGAAAAATAGGAGAATTCAAACAGAGAATAACACTTGGGGCTACTTCGGTCCTCGGTAGAAATGTTGGCGACTCCCCAGGTCATCGGTTCTTGATTGTTGTCATTTCAAAAGGCAAAGAAAATCCCATATCACTTTCCTCACACACTTTAAATGCACGACAGGATTGCTGATTAATTGTTAATTTAAAGCACTACGCTTTTTATAATGATTACAACATTTGGCATTCAGGGAAAATTATCTTACCATGCACCTTCGTTCCAATACTGATACACTGTGCTCGGAGGTTTGGGGATTTTTCTGTTAAACTTGTTTTCCAAGACGCGGTGAATTTCTTGGTCCATGACGTCTTTTGGTAATTTGATGATCTCACCCCATTTTTCGCCACAAACACCGTCTTTGTATGCTACGTGAAGAACTGCCTCGCCATTTCGACCGCTCCTGCTGGTAATAAACGACTAAATTATTGGAAACATGAAAATTATTAAACTCGGTATTAAAATTAATAAGGAAAAAATAGCTTTTTTCGCTTTGTCACAAGGCTGTAACCCACGAGGAATCGAACCCCAGACCTTTTGACTAACGAAAAAATAGATATGTCATGTCGCTTTAGAAACGAAATTATTCTAAGCCGAGAGAAGGCAGGGAACTTTGCAGTTTAATGAAAACCGCTCTAATTACAGATTATTTCACGTTATTTATACGAATCGTAGTCGTAAATTTAGGAAGCTGAATATTTTTCTTTTTCCCATATATTGATGAGAATTTACAGCTTTATCTCGTCGACAAGCTTTACCTATGTGGTAACGTTCATCCAAGACAATCACTGTTGGATAAAAATCTCTCCATAGGATACAACTTGTCAGATGTTTCCTCTGCTGGCACGAGACAACGTCCTACTCATCGCATAATTTTTTTTCTCTCCTTCTTACAGGCTCTCTTTCTACATTCTCTGTCTCAACTTTAAGAAAAAGCCAAAAAGTAATAGGAATGAAATGGGATTCATCAATATGGCAGAAGATCTAAATGTCGTAAAACTTCCTAATTTTCCATTAAAATTTTGTTGTTAAATTTTGTCGTTTATTTCTTGCTCAGATCTTTGCTTCATAGATAAACGCGACATCGAAAACCTTTCAACCTAGTCACAATTTTTCGATATGATCTTTAAAATTGCCTAATTTTTCGTTTACGTGCTTTTTAACCGGGCGTTGGTGGTATAGTGGTTAGCATAGCTGCCTTCCAAGCAGTTGACCCGGGTTCGATTCCCGGCCAACGCATTTGCTCTTTTACTTTTTGTTATATCATTTCTTTCTTGTCTCTCACGCGTTGTCGACATCTATTGATGAATCAAAGTTCTATCAAGGCTAAAGAGTTATCTCGACATTCTAACTCTTACTAAGCAAATTTTAGCGAACATTTCTGTTATAAAGGCTTCAACTGAATCCCCTAATTGTTACAACTTATCAAGTTGTATCTAAGTTTTTCTTCATATTCTTCTGTAAGTGTTAATTAATAGTGTTAATTAACATTAACGAAAAACGAGATGCTGAGAATCATTGTATCATCTCCGATAAAGGTCATCTCGCAAATGTTTCCATTAGCTGGAGAGCTATTAGATATTCTAGCTCAAGAATTCACGATATACTCTTCCATCGAAAATATCACTTTCAAATTCCTGAAACATATTTAGCCAAATTTGTAGTACCTTGCAAAGATATAAAGCCGATGAAGCCCAAAATTTCGATTTTTAGTCAACACAGTAAAGTAGCTGGTTGTTTCTGCCTCGGAGCAATGCCTAATTTTTTTCAACACACATGTAACAGCTGAGCATTCAGAAAGATTTACTTTGACATTTGCCTTTGGCCAAGAATCAAATTATGTTTGTTGTGAAGACATTCCATGATAGTTACATGTCATTTTTTTTTTACGATCATGGAGCCGTAAAATAAACGAAGAGCCAAGACTTGGAGAATGTTTAAAAAGATGTTTAAACAAAACAAAGGAAACTTCGTATATCTACCAGATTGTACTTCTGTTAAATTTTTTCTGCTTGCTACGCGAGAACCAAAGGTCAGCTCTCTCCTCTAACTCCCAAGATCTGATTGTTAATTCTCCCCTCCAGCTGCTACTCATTTCTTAATAAATAAGTTAAGAGAATTTGGTTTTACATCAAGATAAAGAATTCTACCTGTTTAGTTTGAGTATTCTCATCACCTGTTTGCTGAACTATGTATGGTTATTTTTTATGGAGAGATTTCATGTTAATCACTTCTGGGGAAAGAGAAAAGTCGCACTGTGCGCATTCTCCTATTTCACACATTAAAAACTAAGAATTTGATCTTCTTGTTGTTCGACTCATGCATACGTACAACAAATTACGATCACTATTCCAAGCAACAAGTTCCTTTCGATTCTTCGTGTCTTCTTCCTACACTCTTCCTCTTTCCTCTCATTCGAGAGTCCAGTCCAATTTTTACAATTACTCAGTCGAGTCGACGAAATAGCGGCGTTTTGTTTTTATCAATAACGATGTTCAATACTGGCTTTTTCTTCGAACTTGATTTTCTATCAAAAAATATTTTCGTCGGCGAAAAGAAAATTAAGTCCCACGTAGCAATTTAAACTTGGAATAAATATATAAATTGGCACGGAAGAAAAAGTGTGCCTGCGTTGGTGGTATAGTGGTGAGCATAGCTGCCTTCCAAGCAGTTGACCCGGGTTCGATTCCCGGCCAACGCAAGACTGACTTTTTTTTTTTTCTTCTTTTTCGTTGTAAAGCCGAAATGTTCCCAAGTTGTACTTCGCTAATTAGAAAGTTAAAAAATTTTCCAAAAGCTTTGACTGTAACAATATTTTCCCTACTCTATTAATCGGGAAAGGCATCGGTGACACAAGGAAAGGCATCAAGAAGAATGATGTTTACGTTTTGTAATTGTTATGTGACGAGAAATAAAGTATTTTGACTTCCAGTTGTTCAAGGCATTAATCATAATTGGCTTGCTTTTCACTCGATTTTTGTGATCTAGGCTGTTTTTTTCCGGAAAAATGAAAAGCCAAGCAACTCTACAAAAATGTAGTTCTCGATTTTTATATTTTTGAGTCTTAATAAGTTTGTATCCACCCATTGTTTATTAAAGCAGTAAAAGATATGTGTACTGTTAACACATTTAAAAAATTGCTTAACTTTTTATTTAGCGAAGTTTAATGTTAGCAGAGAAAGATGTCAGTTTGGTCTTGTCACGAGTGTGAGACAAAGAGAAAATTCTGAGTCCCCACGGAGGAAACTGAACCTCAGACCCACGGAATCCACGCTCCAATGCTCTACATTGAGCCACAGAGACTCTACGGTGAGCGAGGTCTCATTTGCTGCGAAGTTCTTATGACACGCGTCCGGCATACTGCTAGGATCGGCAATATCGATCGCGTCATGTTTGAAGGCAAGGTTTTGAGCTCGGTAATATGGGGCGCCAAACCAGTCAATATTCCCTCTGTATTTCTGTGACCCAGTTTACTTTTTACCTGTTCAATTCGACTTTTTATAAAGTCAACTCTTTACTTTTTATATGTTCAACTCGAGTTTTTATGTGGTCAACTTTTTACCTTTAATAAGATCAATTTTTGCTTTTTATATGGTCAACTCGACTTCTTATATGGTCAACTTTTACTTTTTTTTTGGTCAAGTCGACTTTTTATGTGGTCAACTTTTCACTTTTTTTATCGGTTAGTGTAAAACGCAGACTGCAGACTGGGGATAAAGTGCAGACTGAAGTCAAAATGCAGACTGAAAGCTGCAGACTAGAAGTAAAAATGCAGACTCGGTTCTAGAACAACCTGCTTCCCCGGAAAAATTAAGAGTGAGCTGGGATCGAGGCCGCTTCGTTCTACGCTCGTTACAAGACGAAAACATCTCTCTCTATTTCATTATTAAGCTGAAAACATGCCATCTCTCTTATTCTATATATTGTTGACATTTTGGGATTCATAGCACGATTATTTACTGATTTGTTATTAAAGCTATCCACCGCTGACCACTCCTATTTCGGACATCTTTTTTAGCCTACGTGTAGCCGCACCCTCCCCCACCAAAGGTGATACGAAGGCCTCCATTTCACCTTTGTGGGGGAAGGTGCGGTTAGATGTAGGCTAAAATTTTTTCATCCCTGGCTCGTCGCCCCCAATTGAAAATCAGCAAATTTTGCGTGACGTCATAGTGACTGCCTTCAGCCAATGATTATTTTAGACGCCTCCTCTCCCTTGTTTTCACCCTCTTCCGCTTTCACTTCGCATAACTGATCCGGTAGTGGCTCGTGAAATTGTGAAGAATGGCCAAAAAATTGTCCAACAATGATCCAGAATCATTGAAGGCTGCCTTTGTAAGATGGGTTTCAGAAAAACGCCAAAATCGCTTGACTATCCTAATCACTGGCAAGACCGGAGTCGGTAAATCTCGTCTTGTAAACGCTCTTGTTGGAGAGCCAGTTGCGAAAGAAGGTCGATCCAAAAGCGCTTGTACCGACACCGTTACTTCGTACCGCACTAAAATCAAAGGTGTAGACGTAGTTGTGTGGGATTCACCAGGTCTGCAAGATGAAACGTGCAATGAAAGACTGTATCTCCAGGACATGGAGAGCAAGTTAAGTCAGGGGTTCGATGTTATGATTTACTGCATCAGTATGACCGATACTCGGTTTTATGACACGGATAAAAGCGCAATCCGTACCCTGACAGAGGTGTTTGGGAGTAAACTATGGGAGAATGGTGTGGTGGCTTTGACCTTTGCTAATTTGAAGACCAAAGATCCAGATGAAGAGGATGACCTAGCTTACTATTTGGGAGAGAGGTACTTCTGGGAAAAAGCAATCTTTGAATTCCTAGCCGAGCTCAACGTTGATTTACAAGTGCGCCAACAGATTCCAATTATCCCGACGGGAAATTATAAACAACTTCGCCTCCACGAATGTGAGAACTGGCTCTCGGATCTGTGGATAAAATGTTTCAGTGTCATGAGTATTTCGTCAGGGTTAGCATTCTTGAAAATTAACGAGAGCCGTTTAAAATATCCACACAGTTCTCCAGCCACCGCAAGCACGGCCGCCGCTGCCCGCTCTTCTGACGAAAATCCAATGCTAATGAATGAGGATGAAAATCAATCAGCTTACAACCCTGATCATGAGGATATCCCAAGAGAGATTCCTCTTAATCAAGAGCAAGAAGATGGGCTCTTAAAGAGGATATGGAATGCTTTCTCGGAAGTCTATAAAGCAGCTAAAAACTTTGGTCATCGCATATTACGATTTTTTACCAGACGAGGTAATTCAAATGTAAACTAGCAAACGTTTATGAACGAGTTTTCACACGAAAACCAATATGTTTTGCTCAGAGAATTAGAAGCTTTTCTCACCTTTACATGTGCCTAGAGAATTAAAACTGATCCTTTCTTTTAATGTCAATATTGTATATAGCATATAGTAGTAGTAGTATATTATAGTATCGCCTGGAGGAAGTCGATTGCACGAATTTTGAAAGGCACACGACTGCTAACAAGGACCTTGAGCAAACGGCGAACCTAGCAGAACAAAAGATCTACTGGGCAAAACAATAGTCCAGCATGTGCGTGTATATCTCTGTACATTTCTCAGCTTTCCTCTACAAAAAAAGAATGTTAAATTACCAAAATTTGCATTGTCTAAGAACGGAAACCCCGATGGAAAATTACTGGAACTCAATGTTTCTTACAGAAACTTTACTGAAGTTGAGGTGTAGCTC